ATTAATAGTCAGAACATTCACACCCCGAAAACAAGCAAATACGAATCGCACAATGCTGAAGTGAGGAATCATAAGTTTGTGCATTTCTGACTCTCAGTATCTGGATATTTATATGATGTTACCTTACAGTTCTTTGAAACAGCAATGGCAACCACCACAAGGATAGCTTTAAATGTCCGAGCCACTGAAATCTGTTTAGGCACGAGTTTTAAAACTCCTGGTATCAGAGCACAGTCATGTGGCGGGCCAAGCAGGGATACTCCTGCATTCTATTGAGACTCCACTGTCTCTTATTTTTCACACTGCTGCTGAAAAGAATGCATTGCCAGCAGAAATCCACCCCAGGAGTTGTTTTAGTTAAGACTTGATCTTTATCAGTCCTGGATCAACATTTGGCCAATAACATAGTAAACACTGCCTCAGTTAAAAAGATTCACTAATTGGAAGTCATATTACACAAACTACAAATGTACTACATTCTGCTCACTGCATAAAAGCTATTTGACAATATTTCTGCACCAGTCTATGCTCTGCAAAGCTTTACTTTGGTTTCATTATTTAAAAAATCTTACCACTGATTATGCAGTCCAAATGGCCTATAATTAATGACAGCTAACAACTTGTAAAATACCACTCAGTTTTAAATGATTTCAGCACAATTGAAGATGATGTGGTAAATGGACTAAGCCAATTTAAACAAATCGCCAGGACCTGATGGCATTTATCCACGTTTATTGAAAAAAGATGAGGGGAGTTATTCATAGACCAATCACTAAGATATTTTGGATAACTCGTAGGGCAGAAGTCAGGCCTGCTGTTTGGAAAATTGCAAATGCAATACCCATTTGTAAAATGTAGACAATAACTAGAAAGGGAATTACAGCCCAATCTGTCTTACCTCAGTTATATGTAATGTTATGGAAAAAAAACAGAAGAGCATCTAAATGACACAGTGTTCCTGCAGACAGACAGTAATAGAAGAAGTTTGGACTTGCCTTTGAGCCTAACTTCTTTGAGCTCCAGCAATGGAAAACCTTAAGTAGACGACACACACGAAAGACGGATCAGCAGATGAAAAGCCAGAGGAATCCAAGATCGTGTAAATGTGGCACATGGAGCTCAGCCCATGTGTGGATTCACTATGGCTGCTCAGTGTCACTGTTGTGCTCGGACAGCGAAGAGTTCCCCAACGCCTCAAAGACCCAGGTCTCCTGCCATGGGAGAAACTACAGAATGATGCACATGTAGAGGAGCTAGTTTGGGCACAGTGAGCTCCCTGCTCGTAGCAGGGACCTCAGCCGCCTGGGCTGGGGGAGGTCTCCTTTAGCTCACTCGGCTGGTTCCCTGTGGCGTTACGCCGGAGACCCGGGTTCACGCCCAGGTGCTGCGGGACAAACCGGCGGGGTGGAGCGGCGAGGGTAGGAGCCCGCGCGTAACCGCAACTGTCACACACACACGTTCTAAACTTACTATTGTATTCAAAACCTGAATGCTAACTGAAGACTTCTAAGGGTAATAAGATGAGTTACAGTAAAAGTTTGACAAAACCTCAGAAACAGAACTGAAATATGTTGATTAGTATTAGTATTCAGACACCTGAACTTAGTATCTAGTGGAAGCACCTTCTGCAGCAAGTACAGACACGATGTTTTGTACTATGGGAATTCCAGAAATTGTTTTTGATCATTTTATTATTAGTTCCAGAAAAGCTGTGACTATTACTGTATGTGATAAAGCAATAATCTTGAATTGTTTATGATGGGCATTTACTTTTATCATTATAGGCAGAAAACATATTTATAAGCTTTAAAATGTGAGGACACATGGAAAAGTATTGTGATTAACCACCTGCCCTGGAAAATTCTCTGTGACTGACGAATTAAATCAAACTTTCTGTGGAACTGTTGAACATGGATGCAATGCACCTATTTAAAAAAAAAAAGCATTGATGATTCTAAATACCACAATTCAGCGTATAACAGCACTGTAAATTTAGTTCAGGTTCCTTCTCTGTGTGCTTATACTCCACGCTCGGGAGCTATTACTTGTGATCTAATGTAAAAGATAAATTATAAATGAATCAGTTACCGCAACTCAAACCATCAAAGAGGACACATTCCTGGGATACTAACTATGCAAACATGCTGGATTTCTTTAAGTTTGATTTCTATATTTACCTTAACTAAACAGTCATATCCTGAAAACTAGTGGCTTAAAATTTGCTGCACCTGGACATACAAAGAAAATGAAGTGAAGCTAGCAATTAGAACCAAGTGAAAGTGTATTTAGCCTTCAGGATAACTCTGATTAACACCACTGAAGTAGGTATCACAGTTGGGTGTCATCTTTGACACCTGAAGTTCTCCAGACATTCATTCCAGCTGCTGAAGCCTTGGATGTTCTTTGTAAAGCAACACATAATTGCAGCCATGCTTTCAATCACATTGGTATTGGGTGTCAGATTTTTTTTTTATCAGGCACTCTTTCTTATGTCCCTGTAAGTCCCCTTGCAAGTCATGTTAAACACCAGATAATGTGCATTAATTACAGCGGGACTGAAGTGAGACTGAGCAATACTGATGTTCCATTGCTCATCCACCTCTCCCCCTCTCTTCAACAGCTGGCCACATAGAAGCACAGCTGCGAACAGGACTGATGGGGCAGGTGCAATAACAATAATAATAACTTTAATTATTTTAAATGTGGCTTCTCTAAGTGCTTTAAAGAATGCCAAAAACAATTAACAATTAAATAAAAATACAACAAATGCACAATGAGAATACACAGTGTGAGGATACAGTGGATGGTGGTGCTGAATACAGTAGGAGCAGGGGGGTAAAGAACAGAACCAGTTACTGTAAGTAAAGACTCTTCTAAAGAAGAAGGTTTTGAGTCTGGAGTTGAAGGAGTTTAGAGAAGGTGACTCTCTGATATCTTTGGGGAGAGAGTTCCAGAGCACTGGGGCAGAACAGGAGAAGGCCCTGTCACCCATAGTGTAGACAGGCTCTAGTAACAGTAACGCAAAAGCATGACACAGGCAGGATTCAAAGCCTTTGACAAGACATTGACAGGAAACATTTTGGGTAGCAGAATGTCTCCTGTCTCCTGTTTTTGTAGACAAATCACATTTAAAGTCTTTAGTGAATTTTGATCCCCTGTTTTTAAATTAATGCAAATGTTAAATGAAACACAGTGTATCTTGTCAATTTGTCTGCACAGCAACCATTTTTACTTCTGAGTTACACAGTAAGTGAATGTCTAGCATTTGAAATGGCAATAAGGTTTAAGTAGTAAATTTCTAGAAAATGACTAAACATTATTTTGGGGCTTGTTTTTTTTTTTCTTTAAAACTTTCATTTTCATGTGTGTTTATTCAATATCAAAGATTTCTAAAACTCATGTAATTGCAACACCACGTAAGTGTGGTGTGATGTATTCTAATTCCCTGTCCTGCTGGCGTTTAGCTAACAGGATGTAAACAGCCCACAGTGCAGTTGTCCTGGAGGGCAGTGCCATTCTCTCATTAACTTTATCTTGTGTCCTTCCCTTCGATAGGCCTACACGGCCGTTACCCCTGCATCACCAGGAAACTGAAGCACTTCTTTTCTAATTGGATTTCCGTTTAGTGTTTTAAATACATTTGACTCTCGCTTGAAACCAGTGGAAAAAACACAAAACACAAAACACAAAGTTCGGAATTCAATTGATTATTAAGATTGCATAGGATCTCAGACTATGAAATCCCATTTAAGACTAGAACAATATGAGAAAGGGCACAAATGAGAAAAAAAGTCACTTGGATTATTTGATTGTTGCCAGCAGTTTAATAATCCATGGAGTCCTTCTGATCCTTCGTTTCTTAAGGATCTTACATTGTCTGGGTAAAGTAGTGTCTCCTGTGTTCTGCCCTGAAAGCTCCTAGGCGTACTTTCCAGTTGTGTTCTTGGGTACCTTCATTGTTGTTGATCTTGAATTGACTTGACCAATGCCTTCCAAGAGTTTTAGGTCCCCAGGAAATTTGTCTCTGTTCCAGACTATAAAGATTCAGTTCCCTTTATGAGAATGTATTTCCTTTATAAAACATAGTCATCTCCTTCCTATTAGTCCAGGAATTAGTATGGTTCTTCTTTGCTGTATGATCTAAAGAACTACATCTTTCGAGCAGCATGATAGCCCAAACTGAATAAATACATTTCAAATGTTAATATTATTTTCCTGGATTTAATTTATATTCTTAATAATATATCCTAGCATTATTTATCCGTATTGCTTACCAACACTGTGCAGATTAGAAAGTGGTGAGTTAACATAAAAGCATAAAATGTGATCTATATCACACATTATTTCTTTTAATTCAATGCCACTCACTATATATAATTGTATGTCTTGTATTTATATTGTATATAAATGTATGTTCTTGCATCCTGTTTGCAATACCTCTCACAGTTTTAATTGTGCTCATGTTTTCTCACCTCAAAACTAACTTGTTTTAAATGTTCCTCAATTTATATTTTTTTATTCTTTCTTTCCATTGAATCTGTTTATTACACATGCATAATATATTGTATTATATTAATCTCTTTTTGTCTGCTTACTATGTATATTTTATGTGACGTGCCTTGAGAATGCTCTGGATTGTAAGAATAAAATCAATTGATTGATGTCCAATCGATCAGGAGTATCACCAGCTCCACCCGACTTTGTCTCATCTGCATATGTGATTGGTTTACTAACTATACTAGAGTCTGGATCACGTTCGGGGCATTTATCTGTATAATCACTTTATTATTATTATTATTATTATTATTATTATTATTATTATTATTATTATTATTATTAACTGTATTTCGGATGTGTTTTTTCAGACTAATTTAAACAATCCCTCCATTTTTGTCAAATTCAGACTCTGAGTGGGGACTTTACTGCTACTGCTAGTTTTAATATGCTATGATTTAAAGCCTCTGATCATTTTTTCCAGTTGGTGTGTCATTCACTGACAGCACTGATGCCAGCTCTTGTGTGAGCTCACGTTTTTCAGTGAAACCTTGAACTACAGAATACTCCACAACTGAGTTGAGACTTTGACATCACAGCTTTCATGAGGAATTATTTACCTTACCTTTCAACTACATGTCCAGGTTCCGAGAGTTGCGCGCGACACGATTCACAGTGCTTTGTTCTTGAACTGCTTTTTCTTGTTTGGGCGCCAATCTGAAGCAGAGTCTCGAAAAAAAAAAGTAAGTATACTTTTATGTGCCTTTATAAATTCCTCCTGAGTTTGGTGCCCTGCTCCTAGTGATTTCATGCAGAAACACATAGATCATTCTCATAATTCCAATCTGTGCAGCTGATAGTTTTCTGAAAGATTTTTGTTCCTTTTGCACTGCAGCAAACATCTCATCTGTTTTCTTTGTTTTTTGTTCAGCAGATAAGATATATATAGTCGGATGCATATTTGCTCTCAGAATACCAATACCAATATTTTCTATACAATACTGCACTTCCTTTGTAATCTAAGACAAGAAATTTCCACCCTCATTGATAAAAATATTTGAAGTCTATTTTCTCCTGAATATTTTGTTTGTTGCCTTCTTGTTTGAGGAGCGCATTTCAGAATTTATGCTCACAGTTCTCTGGTGATATAAATAGCACAGATCTCGCAACAAAACTGCACTCTAATGTCTAACTGTGTCACATGCATAGCGACATAGTTACTGTACATCAGAATCAGAAAGCACGCAAATCATGCACAAATACTGCAACTGAGAAAGGTACATTTTTATTCTTCTTAGAAGTCATTTCTAGACTCTGAGGTGAGCTAGATAAAATCAGCGTTTTCACCCAGGTTTTAAAAATCGGAAAATAAGTTTCTAGTATCTCTAAGTATAGAGTTTCAGAGCTTTGGAGCAGATCTTTACAAAGAATGAGCTCAAAAACCACAGTCTAAAGAAAAGGCATCCAGAGGAGGTCACTTTCAGTCTGCTATTTGAAACATTACTATGAATTGGTTCAATGTGGTAAAGAGGTACCAGTCTTGGTAAAGCCATGAAAGCAGAACGTTTTATTCTTAGGCATAAATTGGACTGATGTGATTATCAATCATAGCACTTCTTAACATCCTGGCTGCTGTTAGAGTAAAGGTAGGGACAGTTTGATTCAGTGGCATTGCAGAGATCAATCCTTGAAGTAAGGAAAGGATGGATTAAAACTTCCACAGCAGTTTTGAACTGATGACGGCACATGTGCACATTGTTTCTAGAATGGAGAGACTGGTTATATGATTATAGATTGATTGGACAACTATATGCAGAAAAAAGTTGAAAAGGTATACCTGAAATCTTTATCACTGTACTGATATTGAAACAGCAGTCACCACAAGTAATATTTTTCTGAAGAAGGGACAACAGATTTTTTCAGGAATGAACAAACAAAATCTCTTGTTTACGTTCAGTTATAAAGATTGGACTTCAGCTTTCAGATCTAAAGGCTATGCTGCTATTGAGCTATGAAGATCAGATTGCCCCATCGTTCCCTTAAAAACCACATCTTTCATGTCTTGTAAATAGTTGTGAGATTTATAATTCCCCCTCCCCATTCCCAAAAGTGTCTGATGTCAGCACTCTTGGTCTGAACTGGACGTATTAATAACAGTGGCTTTCACAAAGGTGACCTTCAGCACTGTTGCTGCTCAACACGCTATCCATAAACTCCTTTTACCCTGTGACTAAGTCAACACATACAAGTAAAATTTGTGAATCAATTTCTTGAAATTGTAATGAGCAAGTACCCTCCTTCCATAAGCTCTACCTTTGCATATCTGGCTTTCGCCCAGAGTCTTTTCCTGTTCTCATTCTGTCACCTAAATCTGAAACACAAGTGTTAACACAGGGAAATAAGGGGACTTGTGCATGACAACTTGTGTTCACGTTTGGCTTTGTATCAGAGAACCAGATTTTATTCTTCACCGGCGTCAAAGGAATTAAACTGAATGCCTAAAAGGAATCTAAGACGTCTTTCTTTACTTTAGCAAGTGTGTGATTATTGGTGATTTTTTATGACATAAGCATTATTTTTCCATTACTATACTATTGTCTTACACACGTTGAGCTCACCAAAGCACTCTACTCAATGATGTGTAGTATACGTAATTCAAAAGTAATTTTTGGTTCAAAATGTAATGGATTAATCACCAGACTTTTCAAAAAGGATATTCAGCAGTTTAATGAACTCCCTTTGTGGCATATCATCGATTAGGTGTTGTGAGAGCAGAGGAACCACAACAGGCTTCTGAAACAAAATTCCAAATATTAGTTGTTTGTTTGAAAGATACAAAGTAATATCTACGAGGCAGGGCATTGAAATGATCACTTCACTAATAGTTTGCATTCTCTACAAATTATGCAGAGATGTACATTAGCATATGAATTTTGTTAATAAGAAATAATATTCTTTGTGATATCGAGAGATTCCATCTTAACAGATTTATAAATTAATTGAATTAAAGCCTAATATAGAGTTGAAACTCCCTCTTAGACACAAATGCATGCTAACATTCACTTTAACATAAGCACACAAGCTTTTTCAGGTAACTCCTATAAGGAAGTCTTTACTTGAGCTGGGAAAGTATTCAGATATTATTAATTTTGATGCATGCTTCTCTAATTTACATTTCCTTTATTAATTAACTTAATTCCTGATAACTTAAGCCCATGCCATTGTCCTTTAAGTGTCATACAGAAAAAGTCACATCTAGATTTGAAAATATATACCAAGGTCTAATGTGTTGTAAAGAAAAAAATCCTAATTATCATGGCTTACACTATACTTGAACTTGACAGTTTTCTTTCCTTACTCGCCCTGACTGGCTATGCTGTCCTGCAATTTAATGAGCCCAAACATACCCTTAAAACTAGACGAGCACACACACACACACAGACACTTTGCTTCAAAAACCTTCCTCCCTTCATTTCTTCTAAAGTCACATTCAGTCTCTGTCTGTCCTATTCAGGCTATGACTGGTACACAAGTTGAGAAAGGGCTTTTTTGTGAAGAGCCTCTGGACCTCCCAGCTTGCTCCCCAAAACCTCTACGTTCCCTCACATAAACTGTTGAGATGATAGTTTAATTTCCCCTCTAAATATAAATTAATAGCTGCAAGCTTTATTGTGTCCACAAAAGAACACCGATGGTGTCTGAAGGAATGGGAAGGTCACTATGAGGTTGCCCAGATTGATGTTTCTATTCAGTGTGACCCGGTTGTGAACTTTGCCTAAGCTTTAGTGTTTCTCTGCCCTTCCCACACAAAGCCCTGTCTTGATTGTGAGGACGGCAGAATTGCGCAAGTGAAACATTCTGGACTGAGGACAGATGTTCCTGACAACAGACAAGTCACAGGTCCAGGATCAGCTCCTCAGTGAGAAAATGTTTTTCCACTATTTAACCATTAAGTGTCTAAGTGAGTTCAATGGGTCACAGTCAGGGCAGAGTGTAAAACAGCAAGAACAGATACATTTAAAATAAAGGTTTATCACTTGAACTTGATCTCTGGTGTGATTTTGATATAACATTTAAATGTCAAGATATTTTTTCTACCAAACTTGTAAACTCTTTAGATATTTCTTTTATTTTTTGCTAAAAAGGTTTGATTGCATTTTTTTTTTTCTGGTACAGAGTAGTTACCTTTTTAAAATCAGGATCTTACAGTTTGTTTGATAAAGATGGTTAATTATTTCTGCCTGGGCAGATAATCTAGGCTCTGCTTTAGGGTACAGTTCTCTATGTTGAGACTGGTCAAGGCTCTGCACTGTACCCAATAGCAAAACAGAGGGTTAAAAATAATCAGAATAAAAATATTCACATGAAAGGAAATGTTTATTTCTTTGGTTTTATTCTTCTCATGATAACAAATACTAATTAAGTCTTCCTGGTCCTAAAATGAAAAACCCAATATTTGTGCAATTAAAAAAATTACAACAGTCTCATGATCCTGCAGGACTCCCTTACAAATGCCATTGTAAAGGCAAAGAACAAGGGATGTGAAAAGTAATTTTCCCAAGGACATCTGCAGAGACAGAAGTGTGTAGTTTAACAGTCTATTTTATTTGAACCACTGTCAAAAGATGAAAATGTAAGGAATCAGTACTGGAAAAAGTCTTGTCTCTGTTGATCTATCACACCTGTATTAATTCTGTAGATCACTGTGCTCATTAGTTGGACACCAAGTTATATTTTAATCAGGAAATCTAGCAGCAGTCCTTAATACTTATCAGGCATAAAGACTAAAAGAAACATATTGCTAATGTGCACTCTGAAAAGGACTTTGTAATGACACGATCATGATCACCTCAGGATTTCTGACGTACAATAAGACTTGAAATCCAGTCATGCAGGAGAATTATTGGAAAGGGTGTAATGCAAGGATTTAAATTGGGCTTTTTGTGTTTTCAAAAGTGAACTAATTTAAATTACAGAGACGCAAATGTGATGCATTATTTGTGAACTGAGCTACTGTCTGTTCTGGAAACTCTTGGCTACTTTGACAAATGTGTTACAGAAAAGGGCATTTGAACTCCATAACACCAAAAACAAAACCTGCAGTTCGGCTAGCTGTACACTCACAGATAACACAGTAGGCTGAGATAAGTAGGCTGGTACCTAAAATTGAAAGGACTACTCTGGAAAAAAAACATGGGGATGGTTAGACTTTGCAAAGTAACAGCACAGTCTTATTGATTGCATGGTGGATGATATCAGCATTCTCGAGTTTAGGACAGCTTTCCTATAGGATCTGTAATACCTGGCATCCGAAAGTCGAAAAAGGTACAACATTGTATTCCAAAAAGTGAACTCCTTCTTCTGCTTTTCCTTTTAAAGCCAAGATGTGAAGATGACATCTGTTGTTTTTTTTTAGATAATTACATGTTCTGACACATCTACAGGAAGTCATTTAGGCCATGTTTACTATATTATTATCCACCGTGCAAAGTGTCACATGTACTTCTGGCACCTGTAGCACTAAGAATTGCACTTCTTTGAAATCAAGTGCATTTAAAACTGAGAACTGGAGACACTTGTTGGCCCAGGGAGTTTAGGAGGGAGGCTGAGATCCTTGATTCAATTTAGCAAGTAGTCACTATATGTGCTACCGGTAGACTGGCAAACTGGCCTCTTCCCAGTTAAAATCTTTTATATCCTTTTGAGGTCTGCAGAACGTGCCTTAGAACATCGCCACTGGCTTCAAAACCTTAATGCCCAACTACATATCACATTTCAAAGGCCACGAATTCAACCATGATCATGAATCTTTTAGCCTCTTATTTGTGTAACTGCAACTAGGAGTAAAAGACCACTTTATAGGAGCACTATGCTGTACCCTTGACACATCTCATAAGCTGGCCTGCGACTATTCCTGGGATGGAAAACCAGAGAGCGGCTATAAGCGGTTTCCAAAGCAACGCCCCGGTTCGGTGACAGGGACACTTTCAGATAAGATGTTAAAACAAGGTCCTGACTTCTTGGTCGTGAAAGATGCGATGGCACTGCCCCAAAGCACCAGATTTGACATCACTAAACTCTGGTGTCCTCACTAAATTACTATGGGCATGAACAATCTTTCATGCCTTCCCCCAACATCTCCTTAATTTAACTGGTGAAGGTTTTTTATTTTTTTACTTCTTCACCTAATTTACCCTGTACTGGGGTTGCTGGGTCCACTGTCGCTCACATGGGGCTACACTTCAGTGGTGGATGAAGTGGGTCCCCTCCTACAGTATATGATGATCTCTTTGCATTCATTTCAAATGCAAAGAGATGTATACATCCAGTTAATCTCCTATAATAGCCCTAATCATGTTTTCAGCATTCATGAAAGAAAGACGTTTCTGCGCAACATCAACATTTTAATAGTCAACTGCATGTCACATTTCAAGGGCCATGACTTGAACATGAATCTATTAACCTCTTATTTGTGTAACAGCTACTAGGAGTAAAGGCTACTTGCTTTTAACAAGTAGTAGAGACAGTAAGCAGTGCATTTCAGCTCATAGAAATGGGGGCAGGATGCATGAATCATAGATGCGGTCTGGAAAGATAGATTTCAGAAGGTAAAGATGGTGCAGTTGTGACTCCAAATGCAGATGTGCTGGACGGGAACACAAGCCGGAGAGAAACAAGATCAAAGAAATGATTGGATTGTACCACGTACAGTACTTCTTACTTTCACATGTCATGGTTTTGGGCCTCAACAGGCAACCCAGACTAAAACAATTCTCAAACCTCTCGAAACTAAAACACACCTCATACAGCAACAGAAGCTAAGCATCACAAACAAATACAGGAAATACTGACTTTTAGGCTTTTCAGCTTTGGTTGTTTTTTTCCCCTTTTCTGATGTGAACTGTACTGACTGTATTACTGTATCCTCAGCATATGCCTTACAGTTAAATTCCCCCTGGTATCTGCTTTGTGAGGCTGAAGTGGGTGCATCTGTGTTTACTGACAGCTCCTCAGGCAACCAGTGTCCTGAGCTCTCAAGGGGAACTAGACTGTGATTTGTTAGTCAACCTGGCTCTGCCACTACCTTCAATTAGCACAAAACGAGGACAAATTGGAACAGTTCTGCTGGCAAACATGATTCTTCTAAGGAACTGGTTGGGCAACACTGGCTTCTTGAATCTATTCTGCAGTACTGACTTTCCTCCTCAAACAGTGATTATCAAATATTGTATTGAGCAATAATTCAATAATTAATTAGGTACTAATACACTTTTATTCACCCTAGTCTATTTCAAAACATTGCAACCTCCCATTTGTTTTCACCATGAGGTGGGAAATCTAAATTTGTGTTATCTGAACACAGTTGTGTCTCTGACATTTAATACAGGGATGTGATGACTGAGCTACAGTATGCAATACATTCACAGCAAGAGTGCCATTCATACCTAACAAAAATTAGACAACTATTAATGATTCTTCTTATGTCTTTATGAGGTAATAAGCACATTTCCTCAAAATATGCTGAGAAACATGTATAGTACCTATGCGTGTGTTTAACTGATATGAAATGGCAAGAGATAATTAATATTCATTCCCATAATCCATTGAGAGGCAAAATCATAATTTTATTTTTTATGTCTAATTTTAAATGTTATACATACAGTATGAGGTTAAAACTAGAAACCATAGGCAGCTACTTTCTCTTCGTAGAGTCCATTAGTGTGATACAGCTAAATCTGACCACAGAAATGGAGAATATTCTGTACATGAGTAATATAAACAAACAAAAATGAACTAATCAGTGAGAAATGAGAACGGTCTTGTCCTTTGCATCTTCGTTCTTCTTTTGTATTGTTTATTTTAGGAAATGAAAACCCGCAGTTGGAACATAAAAAAGTACACTGAATCCATGAAGATTTCTCTTTTGACACAAGCTGTCAGAAGAGAAAGATTTATTTATTAAATCTGTGAAATAAACTATTACATTTTCCATGCCCTTTTGTCCTTGTTCCAGTAGAACGGATCTACCTCAAGTTGTGATATCTCTCCCTACACAAACCATATAACCCTGCCATATCATGCTGATTTGTTAATAGTGCCTGTGTACCAGCAGAGGAACTAAAATCAGAAAACAGCAAAAACTGCAGGTTTTCAGGATAACATAAGGGAAAATATACTCACTTTTGACAAAACTGAAAACTTTTTCAAGGTTTTCAAGGTACATAAACTCTTCCAACCTTCGATTGTACAACAAACCCTGACCATTTGAGCGAAGTCGACAAATTCTGCTTTGCCTCCTTAAAGAAGACATTCGGTTCATTAACCAACTTGACTCCTTCCTCTCTGGCACATGTCTAAAATGACACGAGCATCAGCAGCAGCCTTCATGATTGTCTGAGATGTTAATCCTTTATATGCCTTCAAGTCTTTCAGCTGTTTCTTTGATTTTCTGGAGCACTTTGCCTCTGGCAAGCCATAAGGCGAGACCAGGAGTGAATCTGAAAAGCAGTTACTAATGTGTGCTATTACTACACCCTGTATAGTTTCATTAGTCTTTCTTTCAAGACAACATCTCTGTTGCTCATTTTAAAAATAGTCTAATAACGGTAGGCGCTTCAAGGTAAGTTAAAATTGTATATGGGTAGTAGCTAAACTGTTGAATGCATTAGTTAAATGGCACATGAATAACAAAACATACTGATTTATAATTTTATGTCATAATTATTCAGATATAATTACATACATGTAATAAATGACTTTGATGCACAAGACTAACAATATTTTACATATAATTTAATGTATTTAACAAAATGATTAAAGTGCCAACAGCCAAATGGAACAAGAGATGTAACTGTAAAAACAAATGAAGTACAACCTCATGAAATGCGACACTCTCAAAAGTAAAACCACGTTAAAATTGGTAAACTCAAATCAAGCTCTGGGGGTAGCATCAGGTCAGCACAATCACATCAATATCTGGTGTCTAATCTGTTGTGAAACATCAAAATTAAGCTCAGCCTAGCCAGGGTGTACAAGTACCGCTCAACAGACCTGTGAAAAGATGGTCTAATCGCAATCGGCCTCATTCTGAGGTGGTAAGTACTGTAGGTAATCAGGCAGACAGAGATACTTCACTGTCTACAATTCACTCCCTCACCTGAACAGATTAATGTCTCTGAAAAGCTATATCCTAATCCCCTAATCCTGCAATTTTACCCTCGGTTCCCCTCCGGATCCCAGGAGTCTTTATTAAGAGTCTGAGGTGAAAGTTTTTCCGGGGGGTGGCAGGTGGACCCTGCCCAGGGGAGAGGGATTCTCATAAACAACAGATGGTGGGCGGTTCGATGGAGAGCATCCAGCAACTCAGGCTGTACTATAATCAGGTTTGAGAAAGGCAATGTGATAGGTTAATCACATCGATCATTAAAGTTGGAGACCAGGACGATTTCTAGGGCATGGCATGAAGCTGACGGTCGTGGCGACTGGAGACTGATCTACAATAGCGTTCACTCCCCAGCTTGCCTAGATACTAATCCATCTGAGTAACTAACCACAGATGAAAAGCACTAGAAGTGTTGTTACAGCCCCACAGCTCGAACGAGCCTCGTCAGGAGAAGCTAGACTGACCCTACTTGTCTTCTCAGCCTTGTGTTACGGTTATAAAAGATTAGAGTAAACAGTTTGGTGGCATTTGAGGTAAAGGGGGTACACGGCTGCGACAACATTTTTCTTTTTTTTTTCTTTGTAGTATATTCAGGAAGAATTATGTTGCAGATTAAGAAAAATGTATTTGCTCTTCTTGGTGTAGCGCCCCCTGAAGGGGATCTTAGGTGCAGACAGGACTCTCCACTGAATCAGAGATATGTTACCATATGGCTCAGTATTCAATGGGAAAAATCACAGCAGGACATGTATTTTACCCAGAAAGTGTCCCATTCTGGTACATGTGCAACCTTTTTTTAAGTTGAAGCTTTTTAAAGTTACGTTTTTAATTTTTATCAAGTTTTATTTCTTTTGAATCTACACTGGTAGATAAAATACATGCAGTGCCTTGGACAAGTATAGAAATACATATTGGTTTGTACATTTACACACATAATCTTACTAGAATGCAACTGAAAATGGATGAATTAGAAAAAATGATTTTTATTTACAATTTAGTGTCTTTCTCAAAAGAAACGCCTACAGGGGACATCTTTGTTTTAATTTTAATACAAGCATTTCTCAAAACCTGAATGCTTAAGCTAAAGACCTTTCTACAACTTTATCTCTGACATTGACCTGTCAATGTATTTTGTGCACCTGAAATTTCTGTGCAATTTATTCTGACATTTAACTTCTTTTGACCAGAACAAAATTCAGTTTTGATTAGAATATTAACTTTAAAACACGAAAATACATAAATTACAGTTCAACAAAAGTGGACATCATAGGAAATAGATGAATACTTTTGCAAGACACTGTATGTTACAAAAAAAATAATTAATTGCTTTGTAATCAGTCCACAGAAGAAAGACCTGGTACTTTTCCTGGACACAGCAAAGTCCTACACTGACTCGCTAAGAGAACTGAATCTTTGTGCTCTGGAGTGGAGAACACTACAAGGATATTTCCAATTGAAAATCCTCATAGGTATTAACAAAGTCAATTCAATGAACTCCTTCTGTCTTTTTCTGTTTTTCTTTTGAAAAGCCTGTGACCGCACACCGTGACCCTGTGACTGCACACAGGAGAGACTGGGGAAGTGTAGGCAGACCCATCTTCTGGCCACTTGTTTTTTAACACCTCACTGGCACTGCCATCCCATACCGAAGGTCCGGCCCCAACTGCGGGACAAGCACATTTCGCCATGACATCACTGCTGGCTGTGGAATCCCAGTCGCAGCTGACGGGTGTCATGATCCAGGTTCGAAACAGTGACAATACAGCTCTTCCTTCACCCAAATGAGTGTCAAGAAACAGCTGGATAAGAACGTTATAATCTTAAGAGAGGATACAAAGGAGATGACATTCAGCCAGCTATCCAGTTTAGTTGATAGTAGATAATTGATCCAAGGATCTCTTCCATGTGTTTCTTGCAGCAGAACTTGTACGTTGCAGGACTTCAGCAACCTGGCTGATTAGATTCAACATCTTCCCACATGTTCTTTTGTGAAATAACACCAGTGCATTGCAGCAGCACAGCACAAACTAACAGAATCTCCCTCAGTAAACAATGTTTTGCAAAAGCGCATTACTAGAATGGTAGTAGAATCTCTCTTTGGCCAAAAGTAAGAGTGATTTTATTAAATTGCTTTAAATATGGCAGGCTGGCCTTCTGTGGTGTGGGTAGTAGCTTAGACTGGAATCTGTTGAGCTTCCTTTCAAACAGAATCTGTAAGTGAGCACAGCAGACCCACCCATCAAGGAGAGGAACTAATGAGACACTTTACCTTGAAAACAGGGCAAGGCCTGTTGGGCCCAAGCTGATAGGAAGGATCAGATACAGCTTGCAGCCTCTTTGACAGAAGATTCAACAGAACTGAGAGTGTTGGAGCATGTGGCTGTAGGTTAGGTAGTGTAGTGAACAGCTGTCCGTACAGTATATGGTGGTATTCTGAGGCACAAAGACTGACCCACTTCTACTGTCGGCTAGGCCTGGTGGAATTAATAAGAAACAAATGCACAGGGGTCTGTTGGAAATAGACGACAATTAGATTGGATTGTAGGCTGTGTGGAGGACAAGCCAAAAGAACAGGTACACTTGACAGTTTGAGGTCTCTGTAAAATATTTTCTCCCAGTGAGATATCAGCTATGATGAAAGAAGCTGAATATTCAGTCCAAGGGGTTCTTCTTTAATCAGACATCCTGAGAGACTCTGGATGAGTCGGTGGGTTCAGCGCAGTAGCTTGTTACTGATATGCTAATTAATATCACTGGGGGTGGGAATTTGGGGGTTATCTGGTTAGTGGAATGCTAATTAATGCATACAGCAGGGTGTGACTCACTGGCTCTGGGGTTAGCTTTATTCTAATTAATGTAACTGGAAACAAGAATTTAACAGGTGGAGCCCTGCTGCTTGTGTGTGTACTTCATGTATTGTGTTGTAGGTGGTAAATAGTCAATGATTAGATAGAGGAACAATTTGTGAAACTCCTGTGACACATCCTGGATACACGAAATTTCTGGATTATGGCATCATTAGGAATTAATGTTTTTACATGAGCAAATTGTCCCCTGTGCTGTTCACTATTACATGAATTATATTATTGTCAAACAATAACAGACCGTTCTCCAGATTTCCACTTTGCAACTTAATCTCAAGGCATGCTTATTTCCAGAAGTCAAGAGGGTTCAATTTTCAAATATCGTAACATCTAGTAACTCAATTCACTTCAATTCAAGATGCTTTATTGGCATGACCAATGAGTAAAAACAGTGTCAAAGCAAAACAAATATAATTAACATAAAACAAAAATCTACCGACATTTACAATAAAGACACAATCATAAGACATTTACAGATAAACATATGGAGCGTATTTGGGATACAGGCTCACTGTTCCTCAGGCTGTGGCAGGAGGAACACATCCTCCTCATAGCTCACTGTGAGGCTTAGTGTTTACTGCCTGCACCACAGTTTAACAACTGAATTAGGTTTATGGGGAACCGTTTGGTATATTTGCAGATTTGCTCTGTGCTAGTTGTTCTGGCTTGCTTGCTATTGTTTTCCTGTAACTCAGAAGTATTTGTGTAAAGATCCCCTGAAAATGGTGTACTATTATTTCTCATAGCCCCAGGTGAGCGGCACACTCCCTTCCTGATGGTGGGGAGACAGTTCAAATTCTGGGCACTGGACGCTTCTCCAAACACCACAGGGCACCTTTTGCAGAGTATAACAAGCCAAGCTACATACATGAATACAGAAATGTACAGCTATATTGATGCTCATCTGTAAGGGCCTTTTACGTAGATCTTTCTCCTTATTCATATCTGCACTGTGTCAGACAGTGAAGCTGCTTTCCTGTTGTTCTTCAACTGAACACATTTTTGTTTAATACGTCAGACCCACATGATCACCTATGCTACAGCCACCATTACACAATCTAAAGATTTTACAGTATTATCATGCTTCTCCATTTAGCCTCATTCGGATTTGACAGAAACATTTCCAGGCAGGAAATAGTGCATGTAGCACAGCACATTTAAAATACCTTCTTCATAAACTTCATAATTTCAACATTACGACCCATCATAAATCTATTCCCATTCCTGTTAACATCAGTAAGCAGTGCAAGTTTAAGTGACTGCAGTGGATAACTGGTATTTCGACAATGTTAAGACTCTGCATTGTTTCTGATCTCCCATGCCTCAAAGTTTTTTGAACAACTCAGGGCTGAACTGAAAGCTTTACTGTAAAAAACTACTCAGTAACTTAATCACTAAAGCATGCGCTGAGTGCAGGTTGAACTGCTGACATCTCTGGGTTGAGTCTGGAGTAAGTCATTAGCTAAATACTAGCATTACCCAAGAGGTGGCATACAGCTGACCAAGCACAGCTGGAGTTGTATAGATATCTTCAGCCAGCCATGGAGAATTCGGCGCAGAGACATTGGGAAACTGAATTATTTGATAAATTGGTGATTCCAAATTTCTGGAGATGCACAGATAAATTTCACAATGACAGAATAGCATTTCAGTCTAGTAGCTCCTTTAGTGCATCACAATTAAACCAAAAACTCAATGTGGAGCTGTTTGGAACTGTAACATATTTTTCTTTCATTTTCATCTTAAGCAAAACTCTGTTTATACTATCGTAATGTTGTTCACAAATGATACTAAGAAATATTAATATAATTTTATAGTGCTCAATGCAAAAAAAATGATCAGGAGACCATTTCTATATGTTAGCATGTTAACATTAAATAGAAAAGTAGATTGTTTTTTGGGGGAGGGAGGTGGGTTTTTAAATCTAATTTTACTCCTTCAATAAAGATTTGGTGATCTGTACCGTTTTCCTTTTTATATAAAGCGCCATGAACAGTACAGAAAAGCATTGTGAACTGAAACGTATTTGAATTGCAGGGACTCTTGATAAAACGTAAAGGTCTAACGTCTTATAAATTAATTAAACATTAATCCCAATCTTGAAAAAAGACTCAGATGTTGGATTTAAATTGCTCTTGTTTAGAGATGCTGATTGAACAGTCTGGAGATCAGAGATTTAAAATGAGGACTCCTTGATTCTTCTCAGAAAATGATGCAAGAGTGTCCACCGTGAGAAAGGTTCTGTTCTTCGTGTGATTGTTTGGCTCCATTCTTTTGGTTACAATTTCCAAAAGCTGGTAATAAGGAGGAAGGTATATCGGACAATGTGACAGCCATTGTCTGGAGATCAGCACAAGGTACTGTAGGTGTGATCCTCTATCTTTCACAAAGGCCACTTTGAGCCACTCTGGTCCTTATCTACAGAAATATCAGGCACAGCAAACTCAAAATGAAGCCAGTGTGCTGAAGCATTTGTAACAAATTAAGCATCAGGAAAGAAACAGCAATCAGTCATAAATCTCATTATTTTTTTCAATTTAATCAGAGGGGGTATCAATAGTAAGCAGTTCTCTGATGAGGCATTTGTTTTAGGTCAATATATATTTTATCCCTTCCTCTTTTATCAAATCAAACAAGAAACACAACCCTTAAACCCAGTTGTCAATACATACTGTACCTAATGACCTGAGAGCATTTTCTGACATAGATGACACATAAAAAAAATAAATACAACATGGCTAAATAGAAGGTTATACACTATGTGTAAAGAACACACTGTTTATGCAACAATTATATTTAATGAATTGAGAGACCTGAGAGAATGTAACTAATTCCCTATTTCTACTACTACAAAAGTAAAGTGGACCAAGAAATTTGTTGTGAAAGTGTTTTAAAGATCCTGTTGAAAAAGATGCATTTCTTTCATTTTTACTCATAACTGAAGTCCTATTGAAATTATATTTTCTTATAAAGATAATAAAACGAAGCTGTGCTAAGTTTCTAAAGAACTGAATATAACTGGTGATTAAACAATATTCACAATGATAAGACTAATGCTTTATTGATCATTTGTAAATATTACTGACTCCTAATTATGTCCTTTTTAAAGATGTTGAAGATTTCTTTCCATTTTTAGAACTCTGAAATTGTAATTCAACCCTGCCCTGTGGATTCATATTTGCAATGACGAAACAAAGGATGTAAAAATAAAGAATGACAAATTTATATTACAAATATACATACAGTTTTGCATTACAAAAATTAAACACTAAAAGCTTTATATATGCCTCCTTTCTTTTATAGACTTGAACTACATTGAACAATATGCGTGAAGAGGGATCCACGGCCGAAACGTTGTGTTTTCTTTCTTCTCTTTTCAGCATGGAATAAACCTATTACTTGTTCCTTAATATCTAAATACGACAAGAATGAAAAGAATGGGACTACGCTCTGAGAACAAAGGAATTCTGTGTGGAGCTGTTTCTTTTGTTAATTCCAACAAACATCTATAGAATCTCTAACCTAGTTACTCCAACTGTAGACAGTTACAGTTTTTACAGTAGCTGAACTATGGAGAATTGTAATGTTAATTTTGGGAATACTGAGCAGTGTTGTAGCTGTGTTACAAGATGTTACACTCTTACATTTCAAAAACTGCTTTTAAATAAAATTAAAATTTGAATTGGTTGTTTTACATAATGCAGCCTTTTATAAAAAAAATTTTTGGGGGGGGTAGTTTTTTAATGTTTTTCTAATCGTTTTCATGATTTTTTTTTCATTGGCTTACTGTTATGAAAAGTGCTCAATGCAAGTAATTTTTTTTTCAAAGAAAAACAATATTGTTTTCACGTAAGTATGGATGTAGCCCATGTGTATCTATCTTAAAACACGGTAAATGTCATTTTGTATATTTAGTATGTGAAATATAAAAATGTGAATCTCAATGCTAGTCAATCTTTTCATTCACCTACATTTTTCTAAAGTAACAGGGGATAAAGAACACCTATTTTCCCAGCACACATAATGCCAATTAATAATTCGTATGCTATGAGGTCAAACTGAAACATTTCTTTCGAAAGTGGTTAAATTACATAGTGCAAGAGAAAAGCCCGTTCCTGTGCCAGAACACTTCGAATAATGTGACCAATATATTCACTCAAGATGGAAATCCCACGCTGCTTAGAAGAACAATTGTGTGCATTTGCATGATAAAAGGCTTTGCAAATGCTTTCACCCTTTAACCTGATGTCTGTCTTGGCCCACAAAACAGAACAACAAGCTTGCAGCATTCAGACTGTGGGTTCAATTGTCCATCTCTACCACTCTGTCTTCCCGTCCATACCTGAACTTGGACTTGGACTTGTGAAGATTAATTATTCGACTTATAATCACATGATATCAGTTTGCTAATGGCTAAGTCCCATAGTGCTTGAAAAGTCAGAAAGGTCAATTTTAAGTCGATAAAGTATTCCCATTTACTGTTGCATTCCCATAAAATGTCTTATTGTTTTACACGTGTAGCACCTTAAACACAACTCAGTTGTATTCTTTGTTGTTTTTCAAGGTTCATTGTAATTTGGTAACTTAAAACCAATGTAAACCTTGAAACAGGTAACTTAAACCAGGGCTTTAACATTTTTAACAGTAAAACTGAAGCTGTCGAATAGCACACAGTCAGATTTTATATATTTTCAGATAGTAACAAAGGAACATTTTGGCCAATTTATTAATGAAGATTGCTTTATAGCTCTGATTATATTGACCAGATTACCTCAAAATTCAGAATGTATCGAGTTTTGTACATTAACTAAAATCCTGTGGTATTTCTGCTCATTTATGATCCCAACTATTTTGCGAAAGAGCCAATAAAAACATCTTTAAAAGTCCCATGCCTTTAATGTTTTCAACTGATGGTGTTTCTTTATTTTAACTGTGAAAATATGTTGCACATGCACCATTATGAAGCAATAAAATCAGAAAATCAAGCCTTCCAGTTTTGACCATTTTGCAGGTTGTGCTTTAATTTAATTTAGAAAAGAAAAGCCCAACGCAATGTGGAATAAGTGAACTGAAATAGACAAAACAACAACAAAGTATTAGTGCTTACGAGGATCCCAAAAGAGTGAATTTATTTACCGGAGCAATGAGTTACATCATTTCTTGTTGGGCACTTTCTGTTTGTTCCCCTGTATATCATTAAAATTATTTTTATTCTTCTGAGAAGAATTTGGCTCCACATTTCCAGCATCGTTCAAGGACCCTACAACTTTTATTTAAAAAAAAACTCCAAATGTTGCTTGAGTGACAGGTTTTAAAATAAGGGTTGACATGCAGAGCTATTTCACATCTCCTCTAATTGCATTGCCTCAAACATCCTTACATTAGTTTATACTGGAGTGCATAAGCTATTTTTGGTAGAAGGACAGCCTGTTGATTATAAATCCAGAACATTATCAAAGGTGAAAATACAGTAAGACTGCATTAAAAACATGTTTGACAAAGAGAGAACAGGGAATACAACAAGGCTTTATACCATGGTAAATCTGAGACATACAGGCACAAAAAAGGAGTCGACTACACTATATTAAAGTATGCACTGCAGAGCAAAAATAATGTGTGTATACAGAAGTTCAAATACTTCACGTACTGTACTTAACCTGTCTGTTTTGCAATCATCCTTAGCTTACCGAAAGGTTCACTAATGATATGAAAAAATGTGAATACAGCTACAAATGTAAATGTATTCCACAAGAGTGGCTTATTTTAACGAAACAGTAAAGAAACAATAATTATTTTGTTCTCAAAATGTACATGCTCACAAATATATCACTTTTGGTCCCACGAATAAGAAATGACATTGTCAGTGCTTTTAATTGGAGGTTGAGGTTTTAAAAATATTAGTACACAGCCTAATTCAGATACTGATCATTAGCATCAAGAAAACGTATGAGTAATTGTGCAGGTACAGAAAGGTAAACAATCGAGTCAATTAATACAACGAACATTTAGCTCTGACTGACAGAGCAACACAAGGGTCACATGAGAGAAATGAAACAATAAGAACAATATAGACAGTGTGGATGCAGAGCAGTTATGTAAACACCCTGTTGTTATATAAAACATCCACCCATCCATTTTCTAACCTCTTTATCTTATCTTTTTATTAGTCATTATGTGATTTAACAAATAACTTGCTTTTACTGTATGGTATGAGGTGCTTATTACCTTATTCGTATAAGGGAGAGTTTCCTTAAAATATTCATTAGTACCTCATAAAAATATCCCATTTAAATGGACGGTTTGTCCACTTAAATGGGATATTTTGAGGAAACTCTCCCTTCTACAAACAAGGTAATAAGTACCTCATACCGTATTATCAGAGCAAGGATCCTTTTGTTATATAATAGACAGGAAAACCTCTGTTGTGGCCACAAGACCATAGTTGATTCATTCTGTTGTTGAAATATAACATCACAAAAAGGTTATAAAAGAGATGGGGACATCTTTCTCATTTAACATCTCTTTCTGGTGCTAATTGATCCAAGGATCTTACTAAATCTCTGTCAAAGATGCCAGGGTATCAGCTTCAACAAGAGGGAAAGTCAACTTGTTCCAGACTGTAACAGAATTAAAAAAAGGCAGGAAGGAAAAAACCCATGAAGGTTCTGGGGTGTGGGCTTAATCTTTTCTCCAATTATAGAGCTCACCCCTGTCCTGGAGTAAACTGTTACCCTCCAGCGCTGCTTCATGAATGACACGTTCGTGAAATAAATGTGTGTCCTGGCGTTTATGAGAAATAAAAGACCTTGTCATAAAATTTTGTTCTTTTATAGAAATGTGACTTTGTACATTAATTTTGAATAGATTTTTAATTCAATATACCCATTTTATAGAATTGTATATTTTTTATATGGTTTATTTCATTCAGCAGTTCCTCAATACAATTTTCCATTTTCCAAAGAAAAATAATGTAAAGAAAAGAAAAGGTTCGTGTACTTAACTTGAATCATCTGAAGATCGCTTCAGTTTAATCTGATACAGTTTGAAACTCTCTTTTTGTACCACCTCTTTTAGTTGTGTGGACTACAGTGTCAAAATCCGTTCTCCAAGAATCGCTTTCGTGTGTATTAACACCTGCATTGCTCCTACGATAACACCAAACAAATGTCAGACGCTCTGGGATTTGAAAATGAAAAAGGCGGCATCTGGAAGAGAAAGTGGCACACTTTGAAATGTGGCAGGTACATGCCACATTCCCATTTATTGTGTGCTTTAAAATCCCCCGAAAATAGGAAATCCGAAACCTCAGAAACACATCCCTAAAAAAAGCTGGCACGGTTTTAATTAAATAGTTGCTAGGTTACGTATAGCAAGGGGGGTGGGGGGGGGTTTGGTTTCACCATTGCTTGCTTTTCTTTTTCTTGTTAATTTTAAAAAAAAAGTATTGACATAAAATACAGTGTGATGGGCTGAGTATATTTTTTTGTCTTATTTGTGCAGAGATCAGAAGAGGAAACCCTTTTATCTCAGTGACAGCATTTTACTTCCAGTTGTGACTTACTGAGAACATTGCTGGGCCAGCACCCTGGGATGCCAGACGAGCGAAGATACTTTCGGTCTCCGTACCCCGGCAACTGTCCCTGGAGGCAGACTCTCACCAGCCGCACAGCAGCTGCAGCCCTGCTCCGGCAATGGCCACACATAAACCTCTGACAACCTTGTGATGTATTGGGCTGGATAAAATAACTAAGCCCTTGATGTTTGGAATAAGTCTGACAGGCCTACTGGAAGGTCTTGGCCTACTCTTTCCCAGCTCCTGTGCTCAGTGTAGCTTTTTTTCTTTCTTCCCATGGGTCTAGAGATAATGTCATAATTTACAGTCATGCATTGTGCAGGATGAGTGATGGAGGCTTTTTAGACTTAATAAGCAGTACCCTTTAACGGATAATAGTCTTTCGGTACCATGCAGTCAGGGGGGGAAAGCAAAAAACACCTTCAAAAGGAATTTTCCTTTTTAGTTCATATTGCTCAAGTAATGGGGAAAACTTGAATGCAATTATGCTCACTCATGAACTGCCAGATTGATATTGATCAAAGACCCTTTTTTTTCCCCACCTGTGCTGTTTTTCCTAAAAAAAGTTTTTCTCAGATTTGTCCTTCAATAAAGTTCAAGTATCTACAAACGTGGGCAGGAAAACCCGTTCTGTCTTCTGAGCTCATGGGCAAATCAGCTCCTCCATTAGAAGAACTCGGAAGATGTTTCGGCTATAAACCAGGGCCCGGAAGATGTGATTAGTAATCCCCACTGAGCTACAAACTTGCATATCACACTGGGTCTGCCCTAAAACGAAATTTTGATGCGCCTTGTATCGTAAAAATCAATTTCGTACAGGCTGGAAATATTGATTCAGAATGAAGAAATTAATGTCTCAGATGTTGCAATAAAAGTAGTCCTCCGTATCAGACCTCTAGAAAAAAACAGAAAACACTCCAGCAACAAACTGGCCCCCTGGGAACAGGGCATTGATTGACTAATGATCTACTGCCCTTACAAATTTGTCAGCTTACAGTTAACTGGTTAAACAGGAAATGTTAAGACCTTCAACAAGGTTTGTTTTTCTTCCCTTATGCTGACAACACTGAGATGACACCCATATCTCAAATATCAAACACAATGTTTACCAGACTGTATGTCCTTTAGGTATCTTGAGTTAAAGAGCACAAGAGACAGAGTAGTTAAATTCACAGACGACCAGCTGTAAATCTTTAGGAATTCATTCATTGAATCCATTTGAAATTCTAAACTAAGCACGATTAAATAAAAACACACACAAATCACCTGCTCCTGCTTCAATTTTGCAGATCATTTCCAAATTTTAACAGCCCGGTGACTTTACAGCAATACGTCTGTCTTGTTATCTAGGACATCGCCTTTCGTGAATGTGTCCAGAAGATGAAACGCAGTCAAGTTAGAAATCTGGAAAATGTTTCCTAGAGAAATATTGCCGATAGGGCAGCAAGAGACGTTCTAAAAAAGTTGTTTTTTTAGAAACAGAAGGGGGGCTTCTGTCTTGAGCTCTTGATTTCCTCAGGGTGCCAAGGGAAGTTCCTGATGTGCAGGATGAGATCTGTCTTCGCAGGTTAAAAGACACGTGAGTGGTGGGTCAGAGGACTCTGCAGACACTGCTTCACACTCTGGGTGTGCTCAAATGTTCGTAGCTCAAGAGATGCGAGACGTGAAAAACACATATTCGGGTTTTTCCAAATCGGAGGGTGTAACACATAAAAACTGGCTATTTTAAATTTAGATTAAAAAAATACACTGACCTTATAAGGTGTGAAGCAAGAAGTCAGATTCTACCCAGTTGGGAAAATATTACTGTTAATCTAATTAATCAGGTTTCTCCACTTGGATTTCTGAAACATAATCAGAATAAAACCTGCAACATGTTGGCCTGCTAACTTTCTCCCTGCTTCACCTCAGAGGCTGCCTATTAAATTCAGAATTTGTTTTTGAAATTTAAGGACAATACTGATATATACTGTAAATAGATCTCTCTGCACAGTTGAACAACTCTGACACTCCCTCAAGTCTCAAATCCCTGTGTGTCTGTTTATACCACTGAAGGCAAAGGCAGTGTGTTCTCTGACACATACTTATCAATAAATCTACAAATATTATTTCACTGTAGTGCCCTTCGCAACAGTTTTTGCCACAGAGTGGAAATTTCAGACACTAAATACTCCAGAATTAGAAACTGGTTTCTTGTGGGAGTGAAGCTCCACTCCTGAAATAACCCTTTTTATTATTAAAGGCAGGCCAATATACTGTAAATCTCCTGTTTTGTGTTTTCTGTATTTCCAAAAACCCTTGCAGAGCAATATGTATCTTATACAGGCCCAGCCAGTCCTGGTAAAAGTTTGGGAATATAGATGTTTTTACATCTACACATTTTACCATGGATGTTCATTAGATCTGAAGATAATGACACCGATAATCCTGTGTTTAAAATTGTTAGGATTATCTTCTTGCAGTGCAAAGCAATACTCATCTGAGGACCCTGGTGAGATTATTTATTTCCCCTCTGCCTCCATGCATTTTCACAGTCTTAACAGTTTCTAAATTGTGTTTAAAAAAAAATGTACATTAAATCTACCTGAAAATAATTCCATAGTTTTCAAGCTCTTAGTGGCCAGATTAATTAGACAATGGATTTGTTTTATTAATTAGGTAAATTGTGCTGGCAGTTACAAGTCAGTTTAATAAGAAAGACATGAACAGGCATCCCTTGAATATGAAAATAAGGCCTGTTTGTTTGTGCAATTTGGGTGTTGTATTAAACCATTATAAATAACGTACTTCTGAGGCTCAGAACTAATTTATTTACAATAATTCGCCATATTAAAATGTGCATTTCAATTTGAAGCTAAACGACCACGCTTTTTTTTCTGTGTAACAATTTAATCTTGTTGCTATCCTTTTTCTGGGTTAAAGGGGCATTTGTCCTAAAATAAATCAACAAATATATCTTCTAAAAACTGGTTCGGTTTTTATGATGATGATGAATAATATTAACGATGGAGCCACATGAAAAGAATATTCCAGTATGGATACAAAACGACCATATAAGGACAATAAGAATGCTTCTAGGCTGCCTGCATTGTAAAACTCAGACCAGCATCACTGCCAATCGCTTCACCGAAGAACAATATCAGGCATGCATGTGCATTGGTTATCTAGCCTAATCAAAAAGGTGAAGGGACATGCTATTTACATGTTGCTCGCAATTGGACAGCTCTGAAAAGCTGAGGCGTCTGACTCACCACATCAGCTGATCGTCTGTGCTCTTTCCCACTCCCACACTGTAACACACTGAACCACGCAGTTCCACACTGTAACAGCAGGGGGCAGTAAATCCCATTTATTTTTCTCCGAAGAATGCAAGCACAGTGTTAAATATTTCATTCTTGGCGGATTGAACCATGCCAGTTTTTCCAGACAACAGTGCTTAAGTCATTCTCTTTTCTTAAAGGGTATTCCTATTATTAGTGGCATTTAATAAGAACAAAATATAGCTCAAATGTGGCTCTCACTTTAATTTGACCATTTTATCAGACAGTCCTGAGAAAAA